CCTTCCTCGTGCCCAGGCCGGGGCTCGCGGGGCCGGCGGGCGCGGCGGAGGGCTGGCACGCAGCGCTTGGATCGTTGCGGCTTTCGGAGATGCTAAAAATAATTACGTAAACAAATTCCTTCCCTGTGTAAGTAATGAGTGACGAGCGTAAAGTCAGAAATCGCTCCCGCCACCGGCCAGCCCCAGCCCCAAACCCCGCAGCGCCCGCGAGCCCTTTGGCAAACTCTCCGTGCCAAAACCACCTCCGCTGGCCTCAACGGCAGCCCCCCGGATGGGCTTTTGCATCTTACCTCCGGCGAGGGGCGTCCCCGGAGGCGCAGAGGGCCCTGCCCGGCGCGGGCACGCCGCAGCCGGCGGGACGCATCCTGCTTCGGCGCCGACGCACAATCCAGCCCTCGGTGCTGCCCTGTCCTGCCCCGCGCAGCGGCACAAAGCTCCGTACTTCAAGGCAGTTTTAGCAATGCCGAAGGCAAAGGTTTAATTCAAAGTGAAACGCCTAGGAAAAGAAGGCCTTTCCTTTTATAAACAATTTATATTATTTGACTATTACCTGATCTGAATCTCTGCTCGTTACTCCTAGCAATAGTAGACAACGGCTGTTAGGTTCTCTTTCTCACGTGGTGGTGGTTTTTCTTTGCCTGTGTGCGCAGAGTGAAGTTACATCAGATCGCTACGGAGATATGTTCAGGAGCGCCCCGGCCAAGCAGATCCCACAGGTGAATGCATCCTCGTTAGTACAACTGATTTTCATTCCTCCCGCGACGCCGCTCGGACCAAGAGAGCAGGCGGGACGCTGCTCCTCCCAAGTCTGAGCTCCACTGGCTCCTCCACAGCAGCTCGCATCAGCTGCTGACATTTTTTTTTTTCCTATTTTTTTTCCTTTTTGGCTGATTTGCTAGATAGGAGAAGTTGTTTTCAAACCGCTGGTAAGAAAACATTGTGCCTCACTTCGATACTTGTACTTCAGGGAAGTACAACGGCAGAGGGGGAACAGCCAAAAAACTGGGTTATTTGTTGGGTGTTTTTTTTTCCTTTTTCAGCCATCTTCTCATGAAGCCTCGTGCACGTTCTGTGCCAGCAATAAACCCCAGCGCTGGGACCTGGAGGGGAGGAGAAGGGGAGGGAAGGAGAACAGCGTGTGCTCAGCCTCAGCCATGCCGTGGCCAGCACCGGCACCGTCCCCACCCAGCCACGCTCTGGACCCGACCCAGAGCCCCTGGCCCCCTCCTCCTGCCCGGACAGAGGGACAGACAGGACCGTCTGCCCACTCATGGGGAAGCGCTGGTCCCCAGGTGCCTCTCACCATTTACTGCCCTTCCTTCAGTGTCTCCTCCTCCTCCCGGAGCTGCTGCCTCCGCGCTTGGAAGTCTTCATCTGAAAGGCAGAGGCAGGCGGGGGCTGCAGCTGCTTCCACGCTGCGAGGCCGGCCATCGCGCCACGCTCCCGGCCCCAGCGGGGATTTCCTCGCCCCGGATTGATGATTCCCAGGGACTGGGACACCTGGGACTCTGCCAGAACACGCCTGAGAACACTGGGAGGAGGCCCACAGGGGTATTTCTGCCACACAGTCGCATCTGAGTCAGCCCCGGCGTGGTCAGGGCTGGCACAAAACCCACCTCTGGCTGACGAGAGGTTTGCCAGGACTGTGCCCCAAGCCCAGCCCAGCTGCAAAGCCCACGAGGCTCCCCAGAAGAGGAGATCCCATCCCTGGTCAGCCCAGCAAAGGCCCCGCTCACGGGAGAGCCAGGTGGGACCAGGGCTGAGCCCACTGCTCCGCCTGGCACCTCGGGACCCCAGCTAGCCACGCTGAGCACAGCAGTGTGCCACGTGGCACGGCGTTTCTTACCGCACGAATGTCCTTCAACGTCGTCGAGAAGATTTGCCGTGGAAGCCGCTGTCCCCAACCTGCGCCCTGCGCTAAGGAAAACAGTTGTGGGGCTGGGACACGGCCACGGTACCACCATCATCACCCTTCCCAGCCCACAGCCCAGCCACGAGGCTCCGGCTGAACCGCGGCCTCGGGGGGTCCCCGGGTGCTCCGGAGGCCGCTCTGACAGCCCCGCGTCCCCCCACAGCTCCCCAGCCCCTTTTAGGATACACCTGGTGTTTTAACAAGTGTTTTCTTTTCGATTTCCTCATCTTCGTCTTCTCAGAGAAGGCTCTGGCGAGTTCAAAGAGCTTCTTGCGCGTGGCTGGAAGGAAGCAGCCAGGTGAGGGGGTCGCACCCCAAAACCCTCCCCAAGGCTGCCAGGGGTGATGCAGAGGAGACAGCCAGGCCCAGCGGCGCGAGAGCTGCCCGCGCCCCGACACCCCACGGCAACGCCCCGGGTTTGCCTGGAAGCACCGGGGCCACGCAAGGCTGCCAGGCTCAGGGAGCCGGGTCCTGCAACGTTTTCACCCTTCTGCTGGGATTTTTGTGACCTTCCCTACCCACAACTGACCCACATCTCCCCAGTGTCTCAGCTGCCTGTAGCCCAGCTCAGGCTGCCCAAAGACCTTGGTCTGTTTTGCGACGGGAGAAGTGGGCTGTGACTTGCTAAGAGGAGAGGGTTGGAGAAGGGAAGAGTTGCAGCAAACTCTCTGCTTGTTTTTCTAGGATTCCCACAAACCCTGCCCAGAAATTCCTCTATTCCCCACCACTACCTGCGTCCCAGCTCCCCTCCAGCCCTCGCTGCCAGCACGGAGCCTGCAAACCGACTCACATTTTCCCATGTGTTTCAATTTGTCTCTGAATAAGGCATCGTCGGACACGGCACCGCCGGCCTCGCTGGTCACAGAGGGGGCTACGTCACCTGGAAGGCAAACATCTGGTCACGGGAGCGCGTGCGCGGCGAGGGGAGGCTCGAGATAAATCATTTCTGTGACCCAATTCCAGTGCTAACCAAGTGCAGCCCGGCCACGAGCAGAGCTGAGGACAAGGGCTCTGGCATGCTGGGACAAGGACCCTCTGCAGATATAACCCCCCCGAGACCGTGGGTGCAGAGATGGCGGCTTGTGGGGCGAGCCGAGCAGGAGGCCTCTGCGCTGCCCCAAATCACCCCGGGGCACTGATTGCACTGGGGGGGGCGGATTAAATCCTACAGGGACAGCAGGGCCACCGGCTCAGGAGCAGAAGTTCTGGCAGCCCAGCGACTCGATCAGGTGGCGCAGACCCCACCCCAGCCACGTCCCCGTGTCCCCTCCCTGGGTCTGGGTGCCCTCGCAGCGCCGTGGGCCCGGCCGGAGCTCTGCCAGGCCGCCCACCGCTGCGCCCCGCGCCACCGACAGACACCGGCTCTAATTCTGACCCCGGGCAGCTGCTCCGCTTGCCGAGGTTAATCAGGATTATCCGGGAACAGTCATTATGCCTCCCAAGCACAATCCTCCGCTCTGGCCAAGACAAGGGAGGGCTTTGTCTCCCCTTTGTCACCCACGGGGATGGCCAGAGGTGGGGATGCGGGAGCACCTCGAGGTGGGGGAGAGCAGCAGCACCCATCCTCATCACCCTCCCCAGCTCCTCTCCCGTGCTGGGGGGGCAGCAGGGAGGGATCGCCCAGTTTTCTGCCCCCACAGCCATTTTGGAGGCAGCTGGGGAGAGGGGTGGGAACGCCGGAGCTGTGGGGTGTCCCGCTACTGAGAGGCGACACTCACGGGCATCTTCAAAGTTACCTGATATTACGGAGGAGAAACCAAAGTCGTTGCTGACAGCAGCACTGGTCGACTTGGATTTTTTGGACTCATATTTCAGTCGATCTGAAAAACAGAAAGCCCAGCACCCCGCTCGATCAGACCCCTCCAGGCAGCACAGTCAGCCCCGCTCCCCTCCCGGCCCCCGCGGCGGTGCAGGGGCAGGGTGACGGCAGGGGAGGGAGCTGGGGCTTCCCGGCGTCCCGAAACACCTCAGCTGCCCCAGGAACGGCCCCGAGGCCCTGCAGAGCACGGAGACACCTCCTGCCAGGGGGCATCCCGCAGCGGGACAAGATGTGCCACGCTGCAGGTAGAAACTGATCTCCCAAAAAGCTGTAAAGTCGCTCCGGAGCGGTGCTCCTCCCCAGGGACACGCTTCTGGCCTCAACCGGGGAGGACAAACATCTCCCCCGCTACAGCTGGGGAATGAGGACGCTCGGTGTGGCAGGAGCAGGCCCACGGGAGGAAGGCAACCTCTCGCCCGGCACCAAAAGCCTTTTGCTTCAGCGCAGCGACCGCAGCAGCGGGCGGGAGGGCTCCTTCCACCGCCGCAGAGGAACCACGAGCACGCCGGCGGTTTTCCAGCCGCGGCAGCTGGGGATGAACCCTGCAGCGAGGGTGCTGCCGGGACCCTGCCAAACTGGGTGGGCTCAGAGGGCATTTCCGCAGCTGTGGATTTTTCTGGGCTTTGCCAGAGACTCCGCAGAGAGGCAGGCGGGGGGAGGAGAAGCCTTGTGGCAAGTGGCTGAGCACCGCGAGCAGGAGCTGGGGGAGCCGCTCGCTGCCCGGCCACATCCTGCGCCGACTCTGCTTTGGCACGAGCCACGACGCCACGGGCAGGGCAACGCTGCCGCTGGGCACTCAGAGGGGGAGGCGTGCACCCGAAAAGCAGAGGCAGATGTTTCTGAAGGCGTTTCTCACCTCTCTCCAGGGCGAGGAGGAAATCCCGGTTCCTCTGGAGTTCCTTCATGAACTCTTCGTTCTGCAGGAAGAGCGCGATCCGCTCGTCCTCCAGGTACTGCTTCCACCGCCGCTCCTGCTCCAGGGAGCCCTGGCCCCGGGGGGCGAGCCCCCGCGGCACCACGGGCTGCCGGCAGCCGTGGGAGCCCTAAAAATAAAACCAGCGCTGCTTTTATTTCCCCCTAGCCAAAAGGCAGAGACTGCAGTTTCCTGCTGACAAACGTCCCTGCACCAGGCACCTCACGCTCTGCCCTGGCTCCTGGTGCAGTCGCACCTGAGGAGCAGCAGAGCCACATTCTACAGCCGCAACCTCGCCCTTGCCTACGATATTTATTTGATTTGTAGCTGCTCTCTGAGAGCCAGAAAATGCAAAACCACACAATTACTGGGGAAAGAAAAGGGCAGCTGCTCCTCTCCTATCCCTGAGCCCAAATGAATTGGCACGTTCCTATTCCCAGAAAGGGAATGAGCCTGCGAAGCTCAACTTCCAGGGCAATCCTTTATGAAAACATGGCAGGCTGCCTTTGGAGCCAAGAAGGGAGGCAAGAGCCATGCCGGGAGGACTCTGGCCCTCTTTCCAGGCTGGCTCCTTGTTAGCCAAGGGGCCACGGGACACCCCAGGGGTGTGGCGTGCCCGGAGCTGAGCCGGGTGCCCGGCACAGTCTGTTCTGGGGCTGCTCGTTCCCTGTGAGGAGCTGCCTGCCCAACAGAAAGGCACCCGCAACCCCAAAACCGCCACAAAGCACATGGGGACTCTTGATTTCCCAGGGGCAAATCTTCTGGTTCGCACTAGATTTTCCTACCCAAATTCCACTGTCCCAGTCCCGAGCGCCCTGGCAGTGGCCGCTCTCCCCAGGAGCGTGTGCTGGTCCTGATGCTCCTTACCAGGGTCGCAGGTAAGATTTGCAAATGATTTAAATTATCAGGTCCTTACTGCAAGTGGCATTTCTGGCACTAAGCGCTGGGCTAATGGCAGGAAAAACATCAAAGCCTCGCTGGAAGATTCCCCTTTCACACCTTGCTCACTTCAGTCTCACTCGAACAAGACGCGCTCTCAGACCGTTTAGCTCACAGCCAGCACACCCAGATGCTCTCAGAGCGCCAACGCTGCATGCTCAGGGTGGCCGGGGCTGGGGTTTGGTGCTCCACACCACGCCGTGGGGCCGGGGCACGGGCTGGAACCCTCCCTGGTGTGAGCCTCACCTGTGTGGCAGCGCTCTGCTGCGGCAGGATGCGCAGGAAATCCTCGGGGAGGTTGCCCAGGAGCGGCGGGTTCCAGTTCCTGTAGCGCCCGGGCACTGGGGTGCTGCCAGGCCCCGGCACGTCCGTCCTGCGGGGCAAGCACAGACGGCACCTTCGGGAAGAACCCCGGGCAGCAGCGGGGCACAGGGCCTGGCACGGCGGCCCCAGGAACCCACAGCACCCTCCCAAACCCACGCTAGCGTCAGTTGACTCTGGAGAGCGAACGGCTTTGAAATCTTCGGGAGCTGCATTTCAAGCCTTAACCTGCAACCGCGCAGGCTGCATTTCCCTTCTCCTCCCCGTCTGGCTCAGAAAACAGCCCTGTGGGAGCTGCAGCAGGGCAGGACCGTGCTTACAAAAGCTGATGAAGGTCTCTCACAGCACCTGCATCCAAGAGGGCTGGCACAGAGGCAGCCAGGGCCACTTGCCCTCCCACAAGCCTACAGCTGAGGGGAGGGCCAGAGACCCCCGGGCTGGGCAACCCGGCAGCAGCAGCCAGTCGAACAGAGCCGAGGTCTCTGGAGCCGAGCGCCGCGGGGCCCGGCTGCCCAGCACCTGGTGTTTTCGAGCGGGGGCAAGCGCTCCCCCACCCCCGGTAGCTGATTTTTGCCATTCCAGGCGCTGCCGGAGCGGCTGTGCGGGCCCCTCAGCTGTTCACTTTTTAGGGCCTCGCAGGGATTTTTTAGCCAGCTGTGAGCTTCATTCATCTCCCTTGGCTTCGTCTCACCCGACCCCAACGAACTGACGGCAGATGCCCCTTGCCAGGGCCAGCCAAGGCACAGCAAGACCCCCCACCCCGGGCGCCGGTGCAGGGCTCTCTGCTGGCCACCGCGAGCAGAAGACGCGGGGCTGGGGGCTCACCGTGGCGGCGGGGTGGGAGGCGCGTGGGGGTACCGGCTGCTGAAATCCTGGCTTTCGTAGGCCGGAGGGGAGTAGACGGGAGGGGGCTCCTCATCTGAGCTGTCCGGCTCCAGGGTTCGCTCCAAGATCTGCAGGGTGAGAGGAGGAGGGAGGGTGAGCGGGGGAAACGCTCCCCGCCTGCACACGGGACAGGACAGGCTCAACGCCGCCGCAGAGAGGATGGGGGCGACCCCCCAGCACCGGTCCCCGTGCACCGGTGGGGGCTCCGGGTGGGGTTGGGAGGTGCTGCTGTCAAGGCACCGGATTTTGGGTGGGTGCGTGAGCCTGTAGTTGGGTGCACGCAGCCCTCGAGGATCCTAAAGGGTCTCTGTTGGGTTTTGGGGTGGGAGGGAGGGATGAGAGCGGTTTGG